GCTTGTTTGGAAAATAAGTCTCGAATATGACCAACTTAATTTACAGATAGGGATGTTAATTGAGCAGAGTAACTCGCGAGCAGCTCGAACTCGACTCGGTGAAAGTTCGGTCAAAACTCGACTCAAGTTGGCTCTTACTCGCTCAAATCAGCTGGAAACTTGATAAGTGTACAAGAAATACAATATTTTTCTGTTCTTCTATCTTTAAAAATAAAAATTTACTTTGACACATAATAAATTTAAATTAATACACTGTAGTAGGAAAAAATTATATAAAAGAAGAAAATATAATCAACAAATGTTTAAAATTCAAGAGATCTAAACCTTTAACCAAGCAGCTCGTGATCGACTCAGCTCGACTTGAAACTTAATGAGCACGAGTCGAGCAACCCTCTGCTCGTGATCGACTCGCTCGATTAGCACCCTAGTTGTGATATAAAGGATCTTGTATATTATTAATTTAGCGCCAATAAAGTGAAGTATATTAATAAAATGTTAATTAATCCCTCTGTTTCGTAATAATCACAACACTACACATTGCACAAAGTGAGAAATTTTAATTATATGGAGCAATATTAAGTATTATATATGTAACTAAAATTTATCAAAGCTTATTAATCCTTATTTAAACTTATTATATTTTAATAAATAGATGTAAGGTGAACAATTGAGACCCATAGCCAATTAATATATACTTATTAGAAAGAAACTATTACAGTATATACACTCCGTAAATTAATTACATCAATTAACGCATAATTGTTGGTAAAGTGTGAGTTTAACTAACACACTTGTCAATATATAAGATTGACCATATATAAATATCATTAGTACAACATACTAAAGTTAAAAAATAACAATGAAAAATATACATTGAGATATGGGATTAATCTAACAGCATGCTTATTATTACTACACAGACATTTAAAATTTATACTAGTATAGTAGTATATAATAGTACGGTAAGAAATATGGATCAAGTTAATGTGTCAACTATAATACTCCTCCGTTCCAAAATATTTACAATGTTGGACTTTTTTCACTATTTATGTTTTGGCTTTGATCATAATTTTTTACTAATATTAAAAAAAAACATATTTTATCATAAAATATGTCGTTAGATAGGTATTAATATAAGGATTCATAATTTTCATTACTATTTAATCATATATAAATAAAATCAAACTAATGCATTGATATGTGTGTAGTATTGACTATATCAGATATTTTGAGACAGAAAAAGTACTTAATAAAAAATAAATAATAATAATTATAAAAAAAACCAATTATTGTGAGTATTTAGGATTGGAGGGAGAAAGAAAATGCATACATGCCACACTACCACTCTTATTGCTAGATCCTTATTGGCTTGTTGTACGTTGTACCAAAGCATATACAGGAGAAAAAGAGAGGCTTTCAAGTTTTAATATTTCATTGGGCCTTTAGCGTTGAAGAAAGGGGATAATTAAGCATTTATATGAATTAAGAAATGGGATAATCTAAATAAACAAAAGAAAAGTATAATCGACCAATAATGCAACGAACTGCTTTTGTTTTTGGTTGTTATTACTACGGAGTACTCCATAACTTGCCGCCGTCTTGCTTTGCGGCGTTGCTTGGACATATCTGTTTATTGATGTGTTAAGTTTTGAATCATTCAGAGTTTTTAATTTTTTTTTATTAGTATTATTTTTTTAATGTCTCAAAAGAGGCTAGCTCAAAAATAACAAGATGAAAAAATAATAATAGTAATAATTTTAAAAATACTTTTAATAACTAAACATGACCACGACCTCTAATAATAATAATAATAATTCCACATAGGTTAGTTCTAATAGAGTATATAAATTGATAATGAATTTCAACTATTAGTGTAATCAGTAATCTTTAAGTTGAGTTAGTCCTTTAACATTATATTAAAAGCTAGTGTGACAAGAGGTCAGGAGTTCAAATGATCAAATCACGTCTACCCCTATGCCTCAAATGAGAGTTAAGGTCACTTTATTTAAGTACAATACTCATTTGGAAAAATTGGAATTATTAATCCTAACTTTGTGCCATTTACTTTAATTAATCCCAACTATCGATTATCTTGGATAATCCCAACTTTGGGAGGCATTTTCTTTGATCGGGACCAAACCGGTCAACAAAAGTCAATGACCTGTTATACCAGGTTATTGGACACGTGTCGACACGTAATTTGTCCAAAAAATAAAAAAAAAAATTTAAAAAATTAAATAAAAAAAACCCACCATCCTCACTTTCCCCCCTTCCCCTCGCCAGAAACACTCCCACCAGAACACCTCTCCCCTTCCCTCCCCTGCCAGAACCCAGCCCCATCGTTCCCCTGATCCCAAAACTGCCGACCAGCGTTCCCACTGCCTTCCACCTGAAACGAATCCCATCTCTCCCTGCCGAAAAACGAACCTTCGTCCTGCTGGAAACGACCCAGGGATCCGGATCTGGAGCCCAATTGCTCCGCGGCTGTGTCATCATGGACGTCATGGCTCTCGAATGCGTCGCCGAAGAAGTCGGCGCTGCGTCGTCATGGCCCTCGAACGCGTCCCTGTCGACATCCATGCTCAAGGCGGCGTTGCTCGTGTATCCGACCGCCAACTCATCAAGGACATTAAACAGGCTCCGGATTCGAGAAGGTCCGGCGATGATTCAGTTGTTTGTGGTTGCCGAAATTTGGGTGAAACTCTTTTGTTTGTGGTTGCTGAAATCTAGTTGAGGCAGGCACTGGGAAAAGAGATGGTGGTTTCCGGTGGGAGTTGGGGAGGAAGGGAGGTGGGGCTGCGGTGGGATGAGGTGCTCAGGTGGCGGGGTTTGTTTTTTTTTGGTCTTTTTTTTATTTTTTTTACTAATAAAATTACGACACTTGGCATTTAAGAAAAAAAAGAAAAGTTACTTATTTATCAGGTCATTTGACTTGATGAAAGAAAATGCCCTCGATAGTTGGGATTAATTAAAGTAAATGACTCAAAATTGAGATTAATAATACCAATTTTTCCTACTCATTTTTATTTAAAATGATGAATATTATTTTCTGCCGACTTGCATTACAGAATTTCACAATTTGCATGCGCCGCATTTGCACCTCAACTGTTGTAGTACACACATTTTCGGCTGAGAAACAGAAACTTGAAGAACATTTGATTTTAGCTACTTGTCTTCCACTAACACTTTCATTATTTCTCATTTGCATTTCATCGCATCTAATTCGTCCTAGAAAACTTTTTCCAAGGTGCCCATCATTAAGATTTGGTGTATTATGGAATGATTTTCATTGTACATTTGGTTAGTTGTAGCTTGTTAGGTATGACAAACAATAATTTTTTCCCTATCTGTAAATTACAAGCACAGAGACAAAAAAAATATCCTTAATTTTACCATATACATATAGCTAAGTACAACTAGATGAACACAATCGCCTCAATAAGGCTGATCATTGCTTTTCAAGACGACCAAGATACCGAAAATAACTACTTGATTTTCCATTTGGACCATAAGATGGATGCATTTCTCCAATCCTTTGCAAGCCACTTTCAATCCCATTGCAACTGCTCTCGTTTGTGTATAGGCTTAGGTCCTGTTCTTTTGAGCTTGGGCAGAGTAGATTGAGACAGTAGAGCAAATTTCAAAAGAGCAGCTCTAAAAAACAAGACCTATATTAATTGTGTATAGAATTTATATTGCAATCACACTCATTTAATAGTGTATAGAATAATGGATCGATCAACATAACATACATTATATTACGTATTACTTGATATTTGTCATTGTAATGTAAAGTGGTATTGGAATTGATACTCCGGATGTAACAAGACTAACAACCACTTAAGATCATTATAGGTTTAATTCAACATTTGACCATGTGAACTAGAATTGCAAATTATAGGTTTAATTCAACATTTGACCAGGTTCAAATCATAACAAGCTAAAATCAGTGCTATGTAGCATCAATATGTCAATTAGTAAAGTTAAAGCTTGTGATTTCCTTCTAAATTAATTAGTGCCATTAAGTGACATCCCACTGAATGCACAATTAACTTGATCATTAAGATTAAGTGAACAATGGTTAATATATCAATATTTAGAGGTTGTAATTTGTTCCGAGAAGAAAATATACATTTAAATAAGGTTAGGACAACTTTTTTTCAAAATAAATTGTACTTTGTAGTAATATTTACAAGACAAAGGTAGTTGTCATCTTTAAATTATTTCCATGTGAGTATGCGACACCATTTTTATATATTGTTTTGTGCCACAACTAGAGTACATTCAAATTGACTTTATCCTCTTTCAAGTTGTCATGTGTAAATCCTCGTTCTCCTCATGGCTCTTATTGTTATCGAATAAGAGTACGAGCAGTAAATTTTTTTGACAACCATTTTTGAAGTCGAATATTTTTCTATCAAGAGTGCAAAGGACATGGTAGTTAACACTACTCACTTAACAAGTTAACAAGATGTGTCTTCTTATAGTTAATTGATTGGTTGTGTAAATAATCTCAAGTTCGAATATCTCATAATAATACTATTACTTCCTCCGTTTCTTTTTACTTGCAACACATCTTTTAGATACGCACTTTTAGGAGATGATTAGTAAAAGTAAACGAGTGATTTTATCAATATATTTTTAACACGAGGATTAGAGTAGGGTTAGGTATCATGTGTAAAAATTATTTGAATAATTTGTCCGTTGATATTATATAAACTCGGCTTCAAAGCGCGTGTCATAAGATTGTGTTACAAGTAAATAAAAACAAAGAAAGTATTTGATACTCGGCCTCAAAGCGCGTGTCATAAGATTGTGTTACAAGTAAATAAAAACAAAGAAAGTATTTGATAAACTATCGTTAAGGGTCTAGCTTGTGTATACGATAATAGCATGAATGATTGAAATAAATCTATTTTCTCACGGAACCACTCAATTTAGCCTCGATCGTATCTATATTTTCTCATAGAAGAAACAAGAAAAGAGAAAAGTAGACTTGACGAATAATTATGACTATATTGATTTATTTCCTTGAAATTACATTTGATAGCCACAAAAGGCAAAATACATATACAATAAACTAACTCATGCTTAGATAATAACTTATATGAAGTATATATTTGATGATTTTTTTTTTCTTTTATCTTGGAGATTTCAATGATTCCACTTGAGACTTTCCACGAGGACCCTTTAACCTAATGTAGAGACGATATTCATTAAACGTCATAGATGGATACAATGCTGGATTCTCGGAACTAACAAGTTCCTTTGCTGGTTCAATTAACAATTCACCCCTTGGATTGTAGAAGAATGCCAACGAAATTCTCTCTATATTAGGGTTTACAATTACCCTGTGCTCTACACTCTTGTATATAGCATTGCTTAGCACCTACATCAATTAATCAAGTAAATTGTTGATAAACGATCATAAATTTAAAAACATCATTCAACGAACAATGAATTAACTCATAATGTACCTAGTATACATAAGAAAATTATACAATATTCAAATAAACCTTACAAAAGTAAGACTTAGTATTTGAATCACTGAAAGTAAAATTAGAGGTTTACAAAGAGGAACCAACTTTCCAAAGTATTTACATTGATATAGATAGAGCCCTTTTTGATATATTGAGAAGATCCATAATTTTCGTATTTAAAAAATTATGGCATTAAAACTACTTAAAAGTTTTTAATGGGAAATTCTACTCATGTTTTTTCAAATAGTATGACCACTAATTTGAAGGGTGAAAATAGTGTGTCATCAACCCTAATGAGGGGGTCCAAATTCCATGTAAAATGATATTAATTAAATAAAGAAAGATAAGAATGCCAACTAGTGCAGCTGAAATTAGAAAGGTTTATTGTGAATCGATAGTTTCTACTTTCTATTGCATGGTTAACAAACAATGGAACAAGTTGTTCAACTTCAAGTTGCTATTTATCGAATAAATATGGTTCAAGTTGCAACTTTAATTTTTTATGCACGTTTTATTAATTTTGATGTCAAATACTCCAAATTCCGATTGAGTTATCATACATTCATACTCCGTATTTATATCATGATATAAATCTTTCTAAATATATTTGGTCCATATACGAGTTATGGAATCTTGCACATGGGATGGAGTTTGGGGTACAGCAGAGGAATTGGCCAACAAAAATGATTGGACATTACACCAAATGGTGACTTTATTGAGCAATCCTAATATACTTCGTATTATACTAATGGTGCGTTATTTTGACATAAACTAAACTTAACTGAATTATAGTTTTAAATAACTTATTAGACCGGATTAGATTTGAATAGATTTACTTTGAAATGTATTTTCTTAAGGTGAAAAAAAATACTATAAATTCCTAAACTTATTATGAATATTTTTGTCTGGATTTTTTTTAATTGTGAAAATTTCAAAATATTTGTTTATACGTCATCTTAAAAAAAAAAAAAATAAATAAAAAAAATTCCAAATTGGATCAAAAAAAAAAAAGTCTAATATCTAGAAATGTTTTATCATATCATTGTGTTATAAAAAAAAAAGTCTAATAAATTAATCAATTTCTAGTCAACTAGCTTAGCACCTCAAACTATATAAAACTACTTCCCCAGCTCCATATTGACAGAATTTTGGTGACCATGTTATTAAGAATGAAGGAATAATTAATTTTATACAACCACTGGGAAAATTATTATCAATCATTTCATATTAGATGTATGATGATCTAATCCTTCACGTAATTTTATGGAATAACCAGGTGGATTTATTTGCACTAGAAAAGAGAAAAATGGTGAGTTGGACTTTTTGATGATTTTTTACTAAAAACAATTTATTACGTTCATATTTTCATTTTTGATATTTAGTTTTACTAATCTAAACAAAGACAACAAGATAGGGCCAACCTGAACCATGGTGGACCCTAAACAAAATGCTTAGTACATTTTGAAGATGACAAATTAAGTCTTTTTCATTGAGTAGGTGATGTACATTACAAATTTCTTATAAAAATAAATCACTTGACTAATAAATCATAGATGTAGCCTTTCTTGCTTAAAAAAGGACAAAAATGAGGTAAGTTAATTTATATAAAGGATTTCATGTTCAATTTATAAGATGTGATTGCAATTGAAAATATCGTTAATTCGTACATTTCTTATCCATTAATTCGTATAGATAAGGGTTTATATGCAGGACAGGTGGTTGATTCGAAATATATCAATAATAACATGGAATATACTCCATGTTTTAAATGATTGATCTATGTATTGACACCGCGACAAATAAAATTAGTTGCAATTCATAAGGAGATAAATTATTGTATTGTGAATGTCTATAATTTATATTATATAAAATTGAAAATGACAATTGTCTCCGGTTACAAAATTTTGAAATTATATCGTAGGATAATATAGTGATTTTACATGATGGTTATCTATTTCATCTCCTCATTCTTCATACCACCTATAGTTATTTTTTGCATGATACTCTGTTTTCTCCTATTATTTTTAGTAATGTTGATTCTATTAGTAGCAAAAGATGTATTCATGATGGAATAATGAAACACAAACACGTATATTGACATATTGTCCCAACCAATGATAGGAAAAACATTCTATATTAACCTATAAAATTAAATTAGAATAAAATACAATATATTTCATTCATGTCTACTACTTAGATTCCACATCCCAATTTTATAAGACATTTTGTTTTGTCAAGTTAGATTCCACGTTACTAAACCGAAAAAGTGAACAATAAATCAAGTTATCTTTATATCTAGAAGGTGTTATCGGCCAATAGGATGAACTCTATTGATTTATTTGTAAAAGTTAAGACATACTATTAAAAATTAAAAGATTGAGGTCATCATTTAGTCCACTAGAAAACCTCCACATTGCACTTCTTAATTAGTGTTGATTGGCAAGCTTTCCTCAGTGGATTTAATAGCAAATCTATTAGCCGATTAGGTTGGTTAATGAGGTTGTTTAGTAACTAATTAAAAAAATAGTTTTCTAAGTTTATTAACGTAAATTTAGGCTATTTTGTATAAACAAAATCAGTTTTGATCCAAAAAATTTATTTTAACTATTAAAATTCATTTGGATAAGTGAAAAAATATATCACGATACATCATTCGATTAAAAAAACAAGCAAAAGTAAGTTTTGATAAGTGCAAATAATTAATTAATTATATCTGTAAATAAAAAAATAAAAAAAAGAGCAATTTAGTGCAACAAGGTTTTTTTTTTTTTTTTTTTTTTTTTTTTTTTTTTTGGGATCTCTCCCACCCCACCTCTTAAAACATTGGCCACATGTAGACACACCCTACTTATTGTTTGCTTGGAATAAAATATAAATGAGAAGTAATATGAAATGAATGAATTGAAGTATCGTTTAAATGCATATTATGCCATGGAGTATGAATAGGAATAACAATTTACTAATAACATATAAAATACTATGAAAAAGTAAACACATAGTAACACGTGTTACAAATGTGATTTGACTAAGTTAACAAGTATATTTTAGGATATTATATATAAATAATATAATATAATTTATGCATATATCATTAGTTCCCAAGTCAAAACAGATTAGTTAAAAAAAGTGGTGCAAGATAACTACTACCATAATCCACGCTATCAGCCATAAATATAAATTGAGTTTACAATTTCATCAATCATGTTAGTGAAATGATTATATAGTAATTAAATCGAAGATTACCTTCTTTTCAACCATAAAAAAGATGTTTGAACTTAAATGATTGACTAATCTTATACTATATAAAAACATGCTTAATTTATACAGTGAAAGTTATATAGTATTATTTTATAAAAGTTGACAAAATTTTAAATAAGTCTTCCAAAGTTATGCCTTAGACATTTAGCGCATTACTATTCTAGAGAATTACGTACCTGAATTTGGTCACCAACGTTGATGATGAAAGCATGTTGAGCGGGTTTAACGGTTATCCATTTGTCATTTCTACGGACTTGAAGACCCGGTACATCATGATCCGGCAGCAAAATGGTTAACCCACCCGGATCCGAATGAGAGGACAGTCCAAGGGTCAAGTCAGGTTGTGGGCATTTTGGGTAATAATTCACCCTTAAGCAAGCTCCATTTTCCTCCCCTCCAAATGCATTTTGAAGATAATTCTCCTCTAATCCAAGATTTGTCGAAAATACTTTCATTAATCTTTGACCTAATTTCACCACTTCGCTTAAGTACTTCTCGACCACCTCCCTGCATTTTATGAATTATATTAAAATATTACGAGTAACATCAATAAAGTCATATGGTCATATAATTAACTTACAAAGTCAAATTACGAGTATCATTAATAAGATAAACGTACAAAGGATTATGTAAGCATTTAATTAAGGGTAAAAATGAATAAACTTGATTTCAAGATAACATTTGTGTACAAGATAATTAAGGGATCTAGCCTCGTACATGCAAAATTCATAAAAAAGTAGCAAAACACTAATTTAATGATTAACAAAATTTTAGGACTTTTGATGGTTACTATAGATCATAGGAATCATTGCATATGATTGTCAAACGTTGGATGACAATTCAGAAAGCACAAAGGGTGGCTCTTAATTTAGGGGGGAAAAAATTGGATAACGTGGTGGTTCATAGTTGATGGCAAACCAAGGACGGAGTAGTATTAATTTAGCACCACTAGTATCCATTATAATGAAAGATGATCTTTAATTGGTGGAATATTATGGACCAAAATTCATGCAAAATCAAGTAGAAAAAAAGGTTAGCACATTAACATGTTGATCCTTAACATTATCGTGTTATATTAACCGCAAATTCTTTCATTATACTAACACATCGTGATCAAAATAATTATCGACATTATTATAAACAATGTAGGCGTGTAGCTATACACTGTATGTAGACATGAAGTTATCGTACAAATATTGTACACAGTAATTTGTTATATAATATAAAATCTTAGTTATTTATATATCATCAAGAATACCTTGCAATGTCATTAAATCTAAATTTAATTTTTGAGTGTAAGACAATTGCATGACTAAGCTAATATATTAAAATCATGTTGAATGCGTGATTTAATATAGATATTGGCTACAAATTATCATGAAATGATATTTATCTTGAACTAAAAAATATTATAATATAGTAGCAATTGGACAATGTTTGACTGAACAAACTTTTCCTTTTTTTTTTTTTTTTTTTGAATTATTTTAATTATTCTTTAACTTTGAAAAACTCTATTTGATACATTATATAATGAAATTCGAGTTAGCGATAGTGTCACGAAAAGGGGAACAAGTTAATTGAATTAAACAACAATGAACACCTGCCAACTAAAAAATTGTGAAAAAGGGAAATTTAACCTGACCTTTGTGACTTAATGAATTAATAAAAATAAATAAGGGATACCTTTAAATTTGCTACCTTTTATATTACGTATATCCTTTTAGAAGTTATTTACTTAATTAGCAAGCTAAGCTAAGATTGTTTACTACTAATATAGAAATGAGCAACTTAATGTGAGGAAGAATTTTAAATTATAGTAAATGAGGTATTAAAGAAATGTAAACGAGTTTGAAAATGTAAGCAAAACTTAGTTAAAAACAATTTAATCATGAGATTTCTATTGTTTTTTGAGACAATTGAGATGCTCTTTCTTCGCTTTATCTCTTGTGAAACCTTTGGCCACTCTTAAATGTATGATCTGACTTTGTTGATGCTTTGAAATAAATTTTGTAAGAACGTCCCTACTCTTATCTCAAATTTTAAGTGTCACCCTTTTAAATAAATTCTAGTTAGAACAACATTTTTAAAAGGTGTTTGTTCTTCTATAAATACTACTCTTTATAAACTTCGTCCCTACTTGATCTGCTCCCACAATCCGGTAGCCACTTTTAAAGATAAATTCTATGATTTTTTATTGGACAATAAGTCAATAACTATGTGCCTCATCATAAAAAAAAAAAAAAAAAAAAAAAAAAAAAAAAAAAAAAAATTAAAAAAAAAAGATAAAATAAAATAAAAAACGTATAGTATCAAGGACAGGAAAGAACCCCATTATCTTCCAATATGGAGATTTTTCACAATTTTTTTTTTTTTTGTTTTTTTAACAATATTATTTTTCTATTAAAACTTATATATGGTACTATCAATGATAAAAGTCTTAAAAACAATTATTTGTGATGTCCTTGCTAATTAAACTAATATCCACAGACCACAAGGCAAAATGAGTTGATTTTGATATAAAAAAAAAACTAAGTAAAATATTAATGGTACCTGTGATGAGGAGGTTGAGCAGGCCATTTGCAGTGATCCTTCAAGTTAGAAGGAAGATAATGAAGGAAGTAATAATCACTCCAATCAAGAACAGCACCTTTCTCAACTCCAAGTCTACTTCCATACCCTTCATAAGTTTTAGGGTCGTTGGCGTACTTTTGTTTCTCTTTCATGGGTTGGTAAAAGAACTCGCGCCAAGTTTGGCGCGCCTGATCCATGAGATCAGGAGGGACCCCGTGGTTAACGGCTTGGAAGAATCCCCAAACCCTGCAGGCCTCACCTACTTTTTCTCTGGTGACTTGGACTTTATATGGATCACCAGAGAAGAGGCCTGAAAGGTCTATTAAGGGGATGTCCAACCTGTCCGTAACCACGGGTTCCACTACCGGCCGCTCCGTCACTGGTTTGACGTAGCAGTCCGGTATCCGGTCCAATCCACTATCTGATAGGGATTGGACTCGAATTATTGGCTCAGGCCAATCCTGAACACAACTCATGATCTTATATATTGTTTTTTTTTTTCGTAAAAATACGAAATCTCTAGCTAGGTAAATTTGTTTAAGATGATGATGGAAAAAAGAGAAGGAATTAGTTTGGAATTTATAGTGGTGTTGTAGGAGGGGGGAGAGGGAGTTAAAGAAAGAGAGGAAAGAAATGATGAGGTGATAGAAAGGAAAGAGGAACGTGGGATAAATAGGGTAAAAAAATAATATAAAACGTGCGAGTTAGTGAGAGTGTGATAAAAGGTAGTACTGCCTACTAACTAAGAAAGGGACATTTGGGTTTGGGTTAGGATGATGTGCTTGTGGCCTTGTGGGAGTGTCTTTACTTGACCATGACAGGCCGACATTGGAGATAAAGAGACCCTAAGCTACCACACTCATGCATTGGCTACTTGGCTAAGTTTTCGCTCTCTTCGAGTTACATACTTCCTTCGGTTTATTTATTTATTTATTAATATAATGTATTAATTTATCGTATAATTTACTATACTTTGTATTAATTTTCGTATTAATTAAATTACCATGTATACTTGAATAACTGCATCACTTAATAAATGCACGTATCTCTTTCATATATAGAATTATTTTTCTATATTTTACTTCATCTTATCTATCTCCTTCTCTACCGATATTATTTAATATTTTTCTTCCCTCATTTGTGAACCCCCGATGCATACATACTCACTCTCTCTAGCTTTATGCGTGAATTATACTTAATTTCACCATTCTTTTTTAGTTGCAATGTTTGGACTTTCACGTTTGTCAGTACATAATTTCAATCCACTATATATCTAATTATAAGCAAGTAAAAACTATATAAAAATTTGATATATATTGTGAAAATATAAATCGAAATGAATCTAATTCGTAAGAAGATCCTACATGACTTATTTTGCCCAACATATAAGTTAATTAAGGTGGTCAAATGGGAGACATGAGTAGTGCAATTTTCCAAACATTACAACTATATATGTGTCATCTTCATATGAGTCATACCCTAGCTGGACACGGGTTGGGTCGTGTAGGCCCATATGCCATGCAAGCATATCTCGTGTATTAGTGGGCTATTAGTAAGAACTAGGTCTTAGACACAAACTGTTTTGTCTAACTAGTGCCAAATTTTCAAATTGATATTCATGCACAGTCTATGAGCCACCATTGTATCTCCCATGTTATATCGTGTAAAGATGGGCATTGGCTGGTTTAGGTCCACATGTCGTGTTGGTGCGCCTCGTGCTCAAGCAGGTCATACCTAAAATGGACCAAGAAAAAGTCGTGTCGTGACGGGCTCGTACCAATCATTCAAAAACAGAGTGCATGTATAGTACTACCTGACTCATATGCCATGCAAGCGGGGCTCCTTGGTTATTTTTATATATTTGGTGAATTTCTTTTTTTTTTTTTTAAAAAAAATAGTGGGTCAATATGCGGGTTGACCCATCGTGCTCGTGCAACCTTTGAAAATGATCTCCATGCACGATCCATGACCCACTAGCTTAGTGTGTCTCTCGTGACATGTTGGGCTCGTGTTGAGTCGGGTCATTTTCGTGCCGTGTCTAATCGGCCCTCGTGCCAACCTGGTTGATGCCTTCCTCTAATATCAAGCTTGTAGTGGGCTCGGGCCATTTTCTTGTCGGCTTCGCCCATGCACAACTTAGCTTCCTATCCCCTAATTCTTTACTGGTTTTGTGCCCGTGTGATGCCCGGATTGTTTATTGAAATTTAAAATAAAACTTTTTATCTAAAATATATATGTTATTTGAATTTTCTACTCATGAATTAATAATTAACTTACGATCATACTTGTCCGTTTACGGGTATTTTATGGATTATTAATCACTTGTCAATAGAAGTAATAATGTACAACCAAAAAGAACGGTTGTCTAAAGTTGTGATCTCTTTTTATTTTCTCTAAACATTTAAGGAAAGGCAGGTTGCATGTTAAGACTTCAGAGAATGGTTATATATAAGAATAGGTTTCTTTGATTTTTTTATTTTTCCTTTGTACCTCTCTAGATCCGTCATTTGTATAGAAATATTGGTATTTTATTGAAAATAAAATTAAAATAACTTTTTTATCCTACTAAATTATCCAAATTTTATTGAAAATAAAACGCTAAAATAATTTTTTATCATATTGAATCTATCCAACTTTTTTTATCCTATTCTACAAAAAATAAATAAATCATACGTGTTATATTAATAAGTAATTGTCACCTACGTGGCTCGACACTTGACGAAAAGTTAAAATGTCAAATGTTGTTGTCTCGTAATTTGACTAAAAATTTAGCTTTATATATTAATTATATATGATACTTATAAGAAAAACATGGATAAACAAATTCTTTTCATGATAACCTGTAAACAGCTAACGGCCTCTACATTCACATACGCCAAAATATGAAAGATAAACTGAGTGAAATTCAAGATTATTCGTGTAAAGAAATTTCAAGATGATGTTATTTGTTAAGATAGGATTAATGCCCGTCAAATAAAATAGTTAGTGTTTCGGATGAAAACAATCGAATCTCGGAAGATCCTTTTATCTTGAGGGAACTTGGTCTCGGTCCGAACGACGCAGGAGCCGAGGGTTTCCTGCACAACAAATACACGTAAACTAGCCTCGGGGGGGACGCCGAGGAAGGCCCCTCCGATGCTTAAGTCAGTATATTAGAGAGAGAAAGCTGTGCAAGAGTTTAGTTGCTTGAGGCTTTTTTTGTCTTACCAAGAATTGACCAAATTGTTGGCTTTTATACCTTGGCTAATGAAGGAGGCGGATTGGGCCCGGAAGTCAGTTGGGCTGGGCCAAGCTGATTGGGCCGTTGACTGACCTTGACATGGCTTTGAGGATGTTGATTTTTGACTTTAGCACATTTGGAGAGTTGAACCTTAACCTTGGGCTTTTAATTGGATCATTCAGTGACCAGGCCCAATTGGACTAAATTGGACCCAAACAACTTGCCCCCCAGACCCGATTTGGAAGGATGACGGGTCGGGTTTGATTTAATCAGAAAAGGAGGGAAGTGAATGATTTGTTAATCCAAAAATGTGAATTTAAACCGTAATTAACCCATGATTAATGAGATAACAACAGTTAATGTGGATGATTGCGGAAGTTGGATGGGTAGTGGGCGACTTAACTGCAAGGTCGTGTGTTTAACGGTTACTTAGTGGGGTGCTTGAGAGAAATTGAAACGCAGACTCCTTGAATTCCCATTTCTGGAGATATAAATAGAGGCGCGTCTTCTCTCCCCACTCACTCATCAACACAAACCCAGAATTCTCAAGAACGCTCAAGAGCCCGCATCAAAACTTCGCAAATTCCCCGAGCATTAAGCTTAGAAGCTGAGACTTGTCACTACCAATTCGTAAATCGGCGGCTTTTGCTTCAGATCAAGGTAAATTCCTTTGATTTTATTTCATCTTTCTTCGACTTTGCACTCTTTCCCCTTTTTCGACTTTTTCCTTCGAAATTCGTCAATGGTGAGGGGAGTTAGAGGTGGAGCCCGTGCTCCAAGAAGAGCAAGGCTAATCCCCGATCCCAGGGTCAGGATTGGGACCTGGAATGGACGAAGGACAGAGTCTGACCCTGCTGAAGGGGTTAGGGCGACTCCCATTTCTTCGGCTCCTCCTCAGAGGGCTGAGGGGGTGAGAGCTTCAGGACGGGATGATGAAGTTCCCGCTGTCCTTTGGGATATCCTCCCAGGGTTTTCAGAGTGGGAGGATGCCGAAGTAGCTTCGGCCATGATAAAGAACCGTCCCTACTCATGGTGGGTAGAGAACGCCGATCAATATCGATTTGCTGAGCAAATTGAGTTGCACTACGGCATTCTTGAAGCTGATGGATATTGGTGCCGAATGCCCTCAGCATCCGATAGAATCCATCGTCCACCCCCGGGGTATGTGGGGGTGTACACGAGACAGCTTCAGTATGGGCTGAGGTTCCCTTTGGACGTATTCGTTCGAGACTTGCTGATCCATTACAACATTTCCCTGTGCCAGCTGACCCCCACCAGCATCCGAAGGGTAATGACGTACTTATGGGTCTGCAAATTCTTCAGATACGTGCCGAACCTGCACTGCTTCAGAAAGCTCCATCGGCTAGTGCCAAATATTCAGAGTGGGCACGGAAGCCATGGTTCTGGGTGGTATCGGATTGAGTCTCGGCCCCCGTTCCTAACCATGTGGCCGAACGACTCTTCAGACAAGGACTGGAGAGGTCAATGGATTTGGGTTAGGGCGCCCACGGAGCCGAGCCATCCTTATGTTTTCAGCGCTCCCCGGTATCTTGCCGAGCCGGATCCTGATATGGGAAGTTTAGGTCCTCCCGAAGATAGCGGGCCAGACCCGAACCTTAATCAGCAGAACATCTTCGGCAAGCTGCCGAACCGGGGAGGCAGCGGCCGAATGCAGCATATCCCGGAGACTTGGCTCCCCGATACGCACTATGTTTTCCAAGAGAATATGCTGGCAGCTGTCGGCCTCAGCCGAAAGTTTAGGGATGGTAATCTTCTTCGGCTGGGGCCGAGGCCTTTTAATTATCTCTTTTCTTCTTTCATTTTGCTTTCTTGTGATGTGCCGAACTAACTGAATTGACTTCTCCCCTTTTCTTTTTCAGAACGGGACGAGACCAACGTCGGCATTGATTACGCTCGCCTTGGCGTCAACCGAGAACGAGTCGTAACTGATCGGGCTCCCCCTATCACTGAACCAAGGCGCCGAGAAGTTCACCTAGACTCTTCCCACTTCCAAATTGAGGCTGTTGCTCTGTATCAGAGGCAGAAGCCTTGGTGGGAGAAGAGGGATCCCTTGTTTCAGCTGCTGGAAGAAGAAGCTGAAGCTGCCCGCACAGCCGAAGAGGTTGCACGGGTACTTGAGGCTTGTGAAGGAGGAGAAGGGTCCTCCAGAGCTGCTGAAGCCGAAGCTGCAGCTAGAGCAGCTGAAGAAGACGAGGCTTTGCTGAAGACCTCGGTGAGTTTTTAGACAACTTTTTTCTTTTTTTTTTTTTTTTTTTTTTTTTTACTCACACTCTTCTTCCCCCCTGTCTGTTACAGTCTGAAGAGAGTAACAGACACAGAGAAGGCAAAGCTCCTGTTCGTCCCGAAGATCAAATACAAGAGTCTTCAGACTCAGATATGGACGAGCAGCCCCTTCTGAAAAGGCGCCGAAGGATGGCCATCATCGGCCCTCATGACTTTCAGCCGAGGCCGATGACCATCGGCGTCGCAATAAGGGAACCTGAGGAAGGCAATGGATCGCCGAGGGTTCCCCAGCCAACACCCCAATCTCTTCAAAAGACCCCTCCGCCA